CGCCTCGAATTTATATCTTCAACACGTTGACTCTTGCCACGGAGCAAAATTGAAGATGGCTTCACAGCAAATATCAAACCCAACTTCAGAGACTTCCTTATCTCGAAGCTTACCGATTCTAGATTCATCACAACCACATACTTTCATAAAGCCTGTAAAGAAAATTCATGAAGGTCACGATGTGCCCCACTTCCTCACATCAAAGGCCTATACGGATATTGGTGTGTTTATCATGCAACTCAATATTGCTATGTGTCCTAGGAAACCATCTGAAATCGGTGGAAATCCTCAGACGTGGACACTCGATTCTCCCTTGGAGTTATCAGAACCCGTGAAGAAATTACAAGACTTACTGCAAAATATTGATGCTATCATTGATGAAGCACCACCTGACACAGGACCAAGAAGATTTGGAAACGTTAGCTTTCGAAAATGGTACGATTTACTGGAGACGAGAGTGAAGGACTTACTGAAGCAGTATTTACCGGCTGAGGTCCTCCATTTTGGAGGTAGTTCTCCACAGGATGAGGTATCGGCTTTGGATGAACTTACTTCTTATCTGCTGGGTGGATTTGGAAGTGCGCAGAGACTGGATTATGGAACGGGTCATGAACTTAGCTTTTTAGCTTTCTTGGGATGTATCTGGAAGTTGGGCGGGTTCACAAAAACACCTTCAAATGGGGGCGAGTTAGAGAGAAGTATTGTGATGGGTATTATAGAGCCGTATGGTTTATCTTCTTTCATATCAAGGAAATGTGCTAATGTGACTATTAGTTACTTACGTGTAGTCCGACGTCTTATTCTCACATATACTCTAGAGCCAGCTGGATCTCATGGTGTCTGGGGACTAGATGATCATTCATTTTTGCCATACATTTTTGGATCTTCTCAATATTGCCCAGCTATTACCAATGATGAAGCTATGCCAGTTGAAGGATCTTTACCAGAATCTCCAAATCCAGGAGACGTAGCTAGGAAGATGACTGTTGATCGAGAAAGGAAGAACAATATGTACTTCTCTGCAATTGGTTTCATCAATGATGTCAAAACTGGCGCATTTTGGGAACATAGTCCAATACTTTTTGATATATCCGGAGTACGATCAGGATGGGGAAAGATAAACAAAGTCAGTATTCATTCTTGATACCTCCAACCATTCTAACGTGTTTTAGGGAATGATCAAAATGTATAATGCAGAAGTACTATCTAAATTTCCAGTGGTACAACATTTCCCATTCGGATCATTATTTAGTTGGGATCAAGACCCTCATGCTGTATCCGCGCCTCAAACCGTCCACACAGCAAATCAACCTCAACCAACAGGTTCGGGCGGAACACCAGCCACCCGACCATCAGCACAAGAAGGTACAAGAGCACCATGGGCTACCCCTTCACCATCTCAAGGCATACCACCCACAGTTGCGCCATGGACAAATCCAGGAGCCGCGACCGGTATGCCTTCAACAAGACGAATAATACCTTCTACATCTACAACGCCTCTCACAAGATCAACACCTCCCTCGGGATCACTCCCTCCAACGACAAATCCATCTGTTCCAAATAATGATGCATCCACATCTTCAAACGTACCACATCTAGATAATAGACCAACACGTGCACCATGGGCTAAATAAATAAGGAGAAGACGTTTTTGCTTGCTTGCTGATCCGATGCAAAGAAGAAAAGGGGGTACAATAAGTTCAATAAGTACAAGTACACATACAAATAGATACCTCGCACCAAACCCTTTCGGAGAGTTTCCATTAGGTATTAGGTAGACCGTAGCTAGCTACTCGTACCTAGCTATCCATAGAATTTTATGCAGTGTTATTAATCAAGAGTTGTTTATTTATGAACGATTCGCATCTGCATGATTCAATCACTCATTTACACACTCGTACCTACAGTATATACCGTATTATTCATCCATTTTTCATGGATGCATGTGGGGATATGTCAAACTACCTAGTAGGCTCGGGCATGTAGGGAGGTAGGGTAGGTATTGAGATGTTTAAATGGGGGTATTTAGATGTTTAAATGGGGGCACTTTTGTGTGCGCTTCATCCCGTGGTTAGTGTGACAGAACAGATAGTCTCGGCAGCTTATTTGGTGTGTTATGTTTATGTACGAGTAGTGTAGTGTATAATTAGTATATGAAGTACTGTATGAATGAAGTATGAAGTATGAAGTTAGGTTGGGTGTTGGGTGTTAGGTATTGGGTGTTGGGTTTATTGGATGAACCCCCATACCATCCATCCATCCACCCATCCCAAATTCCCACGACCCAAACCCCCAATCTCAGGATTCTCAGCATATAATATCTCCAAATCGTATATCCTCCCCTCCCAATTTCCCAGCAAATCTCCCAAAGGATCCTCCCTCCCATCCCATCCCTTCCATATAAAAGATTGCATCCATCCATCCATCCATCCATCCCTCATACCCAACCCCGTCTTCCAAGAGTGATTCATATTGGAGATGCGCAGATTATATATATATATATATATCCATACATACGCACATCCCAATCTCGAGCACGATATCAATCTCAATCTCAATCTCAATATCAATCTCGATATCGGTATCGGTATCCAGGCGCGCGTATCGAAAATACGAAAATGGGAAAATTCGAAAGCAAGGATATGAATACTGGTATGTGGATGTATGTGATGGTCGTTCTTATCATCAGATGTATCGGTATCTTACTTTCAACTTTGTACTCCGTAATTTTGTGTATTGTCCACTTTTGTCACATTTTGAAGGCGAGGATTTATACTTGTATAGATATAGATGGATAGATAGATAGATAGATAGATAGATAGATAGACTTGAGAATTCTGTTATATATTAACAGCATGCGATATTTACTGACTCGACGAAAGAAAAAAGGAAGGAAAGAAGGAAAGAAAGAAAGAAAGAAGGAAAGATTATTACGTGTGTATGTGCATGCGAAAGAAATCGATATAAATTACCTGGTAGCTACAGAGTATCTGTAGTTGTTCAGCTCAACACGAGAAATCACTATAGATATACTCGTGGAGATAGTATAAGGCAATTTATATTTATATTTATATCTACCCTATATCTCTCTATCTATCTAGTACGGAGATAGACTACCTATATAAACTCTATAGCACATAAACATCACGACTTCAGTTAATTCTTCATTCAATAACCACCATCCAACCCCCAATCGATAGTAAATTAATATACTATATCCTAACCCTAACCTCCAAATCCCCAAACCTTCAAATCCATCCCTTGTCACCCTTTTCCCATCCCCATCCCCTTTTTGAAATTTAGAATATCTCAATTCCAATTCCAATTCCAATTCCAATAGCAAGTTCAGACCAAACCTGATACCCACCCAGGGTTCGGATTTGTTGTGGATTGGGGAGTGGTGGGTAGATATTAGTAGCTTGGTAGGTAAGGTAGGGAGGGTATTAGGTGGGTGGCTCGGTGGGTATGAAACATTGATTATTTTACATCAGCGTGGTTCTTCGGGTTCTTCATCTTAATGTTGGCGAGTGATGGATGAGTGATGATTGATCTTGGGAGGATTGGAGATTAAAGATTGGAGATGGGGACTTGGGAGAGATTAGGAGGTACTAGGTAGGTATTATGTAGTACCGGTAACCCTTGAATTTGGGTGAGTTATGTTTCATAAGTCGGTTGAATGATTTGATGGCGGTGGTGTGATTATTGGTTGAATGTACGGAGTAACGGTTTGAGATGGATGATGGATGGGTGTAAATGACATTGAGGACTATCTAGGGACTGCATAGGATATTTTTAGGATTGTTCAAGGTAGGTATTCAAGGTATTCGAGGTATTCCAAGTCAAGGTCATAGATTCTAGATTGGTCTTAACCTTGAATAATATACCTAGGAAGTTTATTGTCAAAATATAAGTTATATATAATACGTTGTATATATATATTAGATTAGTAGGTATAATAGATAGATAGATATATTTGGATATAATCCAATAGAAATACCAGATATGGAATCACATATATGATTCGAACGAATAGAATAAACGTGATACGAAGAATACTATCTACCTAGGAGGTAATGCCCATGTCTTTCTTTCTTTCTTTCTTTCTTTCTTTCTTTCTTTCTTTCTTTCTTTCTTTCTTTCTTTCTTTCTTTCTTTCTTTCTTTCTTCTCTCTTCTTTCTTCTTTCTTTTCTTTCTCCCTCTCCACCTACGCTAGATGCATCCACCATCGTTGAATGGATGAAAGAATACACAAATGACTGAATGAATGTGGCATGTGCATGTGCATGTGTACTTTGTATGTGTCTGTATGTGTCTGTATGTGTTTGTATGTATCGGTAGTACATGTGTCATTTATTCGAGTTATACCCAAATGAGGGATAGATAAGGTTTGGAATTCTTGGTCTGATCTTATCTTCAAATGAATCTCCAAATGACCTGCAAATGACCTTCAAATGACCTCCACGCTTTCCTTCCTATTGTAGAGAAGAGACTGGGTAGGTAGGAAAGTGTGGTAGACTGGTAGTGTGGTAGGTAGTGTATCTCTCTCAACAACAAAAACCGTCAAGCCTCCTTTCCCATTATCAATTTTGATTCATTTTCATTCTTCTCTCCCTTTTTCCATACATAATCTTTTGATCATCACTCCAAACACACATTTTACTTGACTTCACTTGACTTGACTTTGACTTGACTTTACCTTTCTTGACTTCACTTCCCTTTCCTTTTCTTCAGGAGTTGTTACGAGAGTAATAATTTCATCTCTCCAAAATTAATAAATCATTCAAAATCATTCAAAATCAATCAACTCCCCATTCCCATCAAAAAGTTCCAGAACACACATCCACCCAAGTTATCAAATCTCTTCATAAATCTTTAAAATTTGATCTTCGCAAAAGGTCTCATTCTTCTTTCCGACAACCTCATCGAAAGACCAAAATAATTTAAAATCACTCCATCCATACCAGGGGCTTTAATCCACTCGAAAAGAAAATCTATCAAAATGCCCGGCGTTCGTAAGTAAAATCATTTCCATTTCCATCTTCTGCTTCGATCGTTTCTTCTTCCATTTCATTCATCCATTCTCTCATTCATTCATTCATTCATTCATTCTTCCTCTCTCCCTCTCTCTCTCTCTCCTTCTATTAAGACGACTTTATTGTTTTCTTGAATTTGCTTCATTGATTCCATCACTCTCGTTTTTCTATCTTTTCATCACATTCTTTCATCACCCGTTGTATTGTATTATCGTCGTTTGATTTATTTCTATTTGCCCTATTACTTTAATTCTATCTACCACCTTAATCAACCACATCTTTCAAAATGGGTATTTACTTTTTACACTTGTCACCATATCTCTTGTTTCCTACATATCTATCGATCTATTTGTTTCTGTACTCTTACCATCTCCATATCATAACTAACCATCCTTCCTACCATAGCACCAAAAGCATTCGAGACCATCAAGGCCAAGTTCAAGGCTCTCCTCAAAGGAAAGAAATCCAAGAAGGCTGAAGCTGAACCAACTGCCGATGCAAAAAAGACCGATGCAGCTCCAGCTACCGAAACCGCCGTTACTGACCCAGCTGCTGAGGGAACTGCACGTATGTTGTCAACTCTTAGTCTCATCCCTTCTCACATATACTAACGTATCCCTTTCAGCAGAAGTAAAGGCGACGGAACCAGCAACTGCTGAAACTTCAGCCCCAACTACCGCAGAAGCAGCTCCAGTTGTAGCCGAACCAGCCAAGACGACCGAAACTGGTGAGCCTCCATATATAATCGGAACCTTGGTGAAAGCTCATAGTACTGATACTTCAATAGCAGCACCCGAAGCTCCCAAGGTCGAAGAACCCCTTAAGCCTGAGCCTAGCGCACCAATCGTCGCTGCTACAGCTCCTCAACTTTAAATGATATCATCTTTCGATATTATCGATGCGCCAGCATTATATATATATGAATATATCATGCACGCAAGATGAAACGCATTTGCCTACCTTTACCTTTGAATTACACGTACATTTGATTTCGAACTCGATACGGATATGGGAGATACCCAAATACAATCTCTTTGATACCATGGTGAAGATGGTGTAAAGATCCATGTTGTAATGGCAGGAGATACGACTGATGGTGAAGCTTGAGGTGATGGATAATACAGACACCTCTTCACCATGTCTATCAAAGCGTGGTTGAATTTCCGAAACAGAAGTCGTCAGAACAGGATAATAATGTGTTATCATGTTTCCTTTGTGTTTTCTTTACTCTTTTATGTCTATTCAAGGTTTTCCTCGATGGTCTTTTTAGTTTTTCAAAGTTGATTGAGTTGAAATTGATGAGATGTTTTTATCAACGAAAAGCAGATATACATCGACTTGATTCATACAAGATTGATTAAGGAGAATGAGGAATGGATTAGATGTGGATTTTTCGATTTCTTTTTTACTTTGTTTTATTGAATTATAGTATCTAATTGTACATGGACGGGTGCGTAAGCGGAACGAATGGTCATATACCCCCTGATACCCTAGGTACCTAGTTCTCGTTGTGGAGAGGAGAGAGAGATGTGGTTTGTTTATAGGAATGAGTTTATAAGAATCTTGATCTTGAAATGAAGAATGTTTTTTGTTTGTGTGAAGTGAAATAAGTGAGTGGTGAGTGATTGATCGAGTGTGTTGGCTATATGTGAAGCTGGTTTGGGGAGGTTTAAGAGTTTTGTAATTGATGGGTATGGTGAGTAAGTAATTTATGGAAGTTGGTTTGAATACGAGGAGTGGGTTGTTGAATGTGAGTGAAGTTTTTGAGGGAGAGATAAGAATGAAGTTGGAGAGGCTGAGATGAAAGGATCTGGAGATAGGGTAGGTAATGCAAGTGAGATGGCATTTGGATTGATTATTGAGGAGAGGAGAGGAGAGGAGAGGAGAGGAGAGGAGAGGAGAGGAGAGGAGAGAGAAGAGCTATGTATGTATCTATCTTCTTAGTATTTGAGTTTTGGAGGGGGAGCTGTAAGTGTTAG